CGTTCATTACCCCATCACAAAAAGAATAAGAAAAAAATAAAGTAAGTAGAATCGAGGACGGTCCTGCCGCCTCTCGTACAAATGAAATAAAAAGATCACCCTTTGCTTTGTTTGCTTTGCTTTGGTTTAGATGCCGCCGTAGCGCACACCACGCTTGCCCAGTTCCTTCCTGCCGACGGCGTCCTCGGGCCAGATCCAGCCTCTGCTCCGCTTGGCCTCGCGCTTCTCGGCCAGCTGGGGCGCGGGGATCCAGCTGTCTCTGGGCTTTGCCTTGCGCCTGGTGCCCTCGGCGGGGGCGCCGACCTCTGACTTCCAAGATGCGTGGCCGGGGGCGGGGTGGTCGCCGGCCATCTGGCAGAGGCCCCAGAGGGCGAGGCAGGCGGTGAGCTGGGGCTCGTCGCCGGTGCTGGTGGCGGCGAGCTGGACGCTGGTGACCTCGAGCTCGCCGAAGACCGGGGTGGACTCGGTGCCGTTGCGGACGAGGACGAGCTCGATCTCGGTGAGGATGAAGCCGTAGCGGCAGCCGTGCTCGCGCATGGCGTGGTGGATGGCGGCGAGGCCGCGGAGGTACTCGACGCGCTTGATGTTGCCCTCGGCGCGCATGCCGGTGTTGAAGCGGTCAAAGGTGCGGACGAGGCCGACGACGCGGGCGGAGGGCTTGCCGCCGAACATGGCGGCGGCGGCAGCGGCCTCGCCAGAGACGTTAGCAGTGAAGAGGAGGTCGTTGATGGCGCTGGGACCCTTGGTTGCGGCGGGGACGGAGAGCTGGAGAGGACGCTCGGAGCAGAGGGCGAGAGCAGAGTTGAGCTTGGGCAGGTAGTAGGAGGCGTAGATGCTGTGGAGAGCGGCCTCGGTCTCTGGGTGGCGGCTGGACATGGTAGGCTGGGGGAGGACGGGAGCCGGGATAGGGGTGTTGAGCAGCGAGGCGCCAGGGAGGGTGAGGATGGAAGCCAGGTTGAAGGAGGACCAGTTGCGGATGTTGCGGATGTCCCACCAGAAGTGCTTGATGTTGGGGTCGCGGTGGGGGAAGGAGACGGTTCGGACCAAGGAGGCGGCCGAGTTGGCACCGGTGAGGAAGGACATGAGAGTGGTGGTGGGGGTTGGCTCCGGGGTGACATTGACGGAGGCGGCCATGGTCAGAGGGGAGGGCGCACGGGGCGTGTAAGTCGCAGATGGGAAAGTGAAGTCGGCCTGCTGCATGACGGGCACAGCACGGTAGGATGGGTAGGCGTACTTGTCAGCGGTCATGACCTCGACGCTGCTGCATCGGCGGGTGTGAGCCTTGGAAGGATCATGGGAGTGGGCAAAGTTGGCGGGAGAGCAGAGCAGCTGGTTGCTGAAGCCATCCTCACGAGGAGGGGTGGGAAAGCTGAAGTGAGGCATGACCATGGCGTTGAGGGTCTCCGGGTTGGTGTAGCTACGAGCGTGGCGGAAGGCCTTGGATCGACGAGCAACAGGGGCGGGTGGGGGAGTAGACATCATGCCAGCAGTGATGGGAGGGAAACCATCAAGATCCTGATCCTGAGATCGAATCTTGGGGAGCAAGAGGGGACCATGGTTCCGCACAGGAGAGCCAGCTCTTGGCGGAGTGGTCAGGCCGGGGCAGACCGACTCGGGGGGAGAGTCGACAGCCGAGCCAACAGAGTAGATGGAGGCTCGCGAGGATGAGCGAGTGTGGCTGGGGGCGTACTGCCTGGGAGCGGCATACGAGTGGAACTCTTGAGGGACCTGGTACTTGAGCATAGAGGCATCAAAGGAAAAGTCCAGGTTGTGCATGGGAGGCGAAGGGGTGCAGTGTTGCATCACCGGCGCATAAGAGAAGCTGGTGGTGAAGTCGTCAAACGAGACGTCGGCTTCCAGACTACAGGTCAGGGCGGTTAGCACAGTCGCCTTGACGCGAGTATATTTTGTTTCTAGGAATACGGGGGAACTCACGAAGACATCTTGAAAGATTATTAGTGGGTTTTGTTTTGTTGCTCCGTGGGGGCTTTTGTTGGTGTAAGTGCTGTTCAGTAGGAACAGATATTGTATGTAGTGTAGTTTTGGCAAGAGACCAGCTCAGGTAGTGGTGGTAGTATCAACAGGGCCAGACGAGATCCAGTCTCGTGTGTGTAAGTGAATATGGCGAGTTTGAGGATGAGGTTGAGGACGAGGAGGGCCAAGCAACCAGGCAGGCCAGGTCTAAGTCGAGAGGAGGAGGATGAAGAAGAGAGAAATTAAGGGCTCGGGGAGAGGCCTGGAGGGAAAGGATAGAGGAGAGGAACGATTGGGAAAGAATCGCTTGATTTCTGAAGAAAAATCTCATGGCCAGAGAGCAGGAGGCCGGGTTCTTATCCTTGGGAGGTCCAGTGGCCGTGGATGCTTGACGGCAGAAACGCATGTGGAGCCAGGGTCCAGACGAGAGAGTCGCGGGTCGTCTGGCACGCACCGACGCAGTTGATCTGAAACGCGAAAGAGACCAGACCAGACCCCCTTGGCGGGCGACTAGCCGACACGAGGATGTTGTGGCATGGCCGGCAGGTGGTGAAGACGTCTGTCTGTCTGATCATCGCAGCTGCAGCCAGTCTCTTGCACACGGCGGCGGTGGTGGTGGTACTACAGGAAGTGAGTGGGGTGGAGCCGCGGTGAAGGTGACCGTGCAGGCTCATGTCTCCGCACGGTAGGCCCAGGCGTCGGTGATAGGCGAGTGCACAGTGCGCAAGAGCCCCAGCGCTGGTGCTACGCTAGGGCCCGTTTCCTGGGGTTGGAGCGATGGCTGCACGTCGGCGGCCTATGAGTGGCCGGCGCCAACTAGCCCGCCTGCACCTGTGCGTTAGCGCCAGAAGCCCGTCCCAGTGGACTGACGGCACGAGAAAGAAAAAAGTGCGCTCGCTGTGGACGCGCCCCACGCCACTAAAGAACACACGCAGAAGCCCCGTCGGCGACCAGCAAAAACACGCTGCCACGTCTTGTCCCACCCGAACACACGGACTCCCATCCCATGCTGCCATGCGATGCGCGACGACGTGGACTGCGTTGCCATGGACCGACGCCCTGCTTGATGCGGTGGTCAAGTTCATCCCGCACCGCGACCGCCTGCTCGCGCGTGTCACAACTCTGTTTTCCTTCGTCGCCCTCTCGTTAGCGCGTGACTCATTCTCTCGCTTGGATGTCCCTGGCAGGTACCTCGGTGGTCCTCACGTCGTACTGGAGGCCATCATCGTCGTGAGATGAAAATCTTACGGTAGGTAATCTCCCCTAGGCGTCCAGCCAAGAAAGCACCGTGCTATTCGCAGCCTCCACGGGCGCTTGCTGGCTGCTCCCGGCCCTCTCGCTGCCGTCGCTGCTATTTTTGCCCGTTGCTTAAATAAGACGACATGCGTTCTGGCTGCTCTTATTCGCCGGCGGCTAAGAGCCACTGGCCAGTTCTCTGCCGAGCGGCTACCTCAAACAGCCGGGCCTCACGCAGCCAACAGCCATCTTCGGCGGCCGTCATGGCATATTGCCTGGGGTCCGCTCCCGTGCCTACTGCCGCCAGGTAGAGTCATGTCATACCGTGTACCGTACCGTAGTACCTCCATGCCACGAGAAAGGGCGGCTGCGGAAATTTACTCGTCCATGCACAGCCCCATGGTCGCGGGCGCGTATTCCTCAATGCTCAGCAGCCCAAGGCGCGAACGCATCATTCGTGCCTAACACGCCATTGGCCCAGCTTGCCCCCCGGTCGCCGATCTGATTGGCAGGTCACGGCAGCTCTCACCACGAGCGCGGTGATTTTCGCGCCCGCATGTGGACTCACGGGCTCTTCCTCCAGAAACCCTCTCCCACGCGTTGCACCGACACCGCGCCGGCCAATGGGAGCGTGTCGACCAACGACTGGCCAGGATTGCTTCCGGGACCAGGGACCACGGAGCGAGCATGGGGAGGAGGATCCTAGGAAGACAACCCGACATTGCGGGCATTTTCCCAGCAGCAGATCAGTAACCTTCCTGTTCGACCAGTCCGGATTCCGACTAGACTGCGGTGTGCGGGCTGTTTGACACTTGGTACCGGCAAGGTCTCAGTCACCACGCACAAAGGCCGATCGATCTCTGCGACATGTCCACCAGCTGGTCCATGCTGCCCCTGTTCCAGACCCGGACCGCACAGCAGAAACCCCAAAGCCCTACCCTATGTCTGTTTAAACGCCGACCGCTGAGCAAAGCCTCATTATGCGTACGTCAACCTGGCGGTTAAAAAAGCATGCAGAGAAAGGAAATGGAACCGACAGAATGTCCCGGGTCGTTATTAATAGATTTCCACTGCACGTAATGTCGATTTTCTCTACGTAGAACGATAATATCAACCGTCCTTATGGTTTGTGCGGAGAGCGGATGACAGCTCTGCCAACAGCAATTTTTTTCTTCTCCATCATCCCTGGGGGTTGAACGTCCTCCCCACCCGAACCAGCACATACAGCAACGACCTATCAAACCGTAGCCCTACGAGTGTGAGTCAGTCCAGATGTGAAACCTTGTATGCGACGCGAAGAAAAGCAGGGTGGCATAATTGATGGATGCAATGACAACACAACGTCACTGCTCCCCCCCCTCCCCTTCACCGTCCCCAGACATTCATCCGAAGCACGTCTCAGCACACTGACTGGTTGAATGTGGTGACCCAAAACGGCACCGCGACTCTATTGCCAACTCCAAAACATGTCCGCTCTATCGCCAAGCTGCATAACGGATACAGACAAAAGGACTATTACCGCCTAGCGCCAAAGAGTTCCCCTTCCTATCTTCACCCCACATTTCGCGAATCCTTCCCTCGCCCATGTCTATGATAATACGGACTATACTGAATGGTGGTGTAGGTATGTTGTTGTGCAGCGAAGCTTCCTCGACCACTCGCCACATTAGGTTCTCTTCTCGTGCCCCCCCTCCCCTCCCATCCATCTTCTTTCGAACTTCCTCACGCGACTTTTTCCTTGGTCTTCATGCCTTGGTTTGGTCGTTTGAGGAATTATCCGGCGTGGCACCCTAGCTGGGCTCACCACGGCCACTCGTCTCCTCCACACTCCCTGCCAGGCTCTCGTCCACCATCTCTCGGTCCTGCACCTGGAGCCCGCCTGACCGTGGCGGTGGCTCCCACCTCCTGCCCTCGCTCTCCATGTTCCCCTCCCTCAGCTTCCGCAGGGCCCGCACCATGCCGTCGAGCTTCGTCCGTTCTTGGTACACCATCCCCCTCGCGTACTCGCGGATCACTGCCACGCCCATCCTATCGTGCATGTCCTGCCATCCGGCCAGCTCCCCAGCCACCGTCTGCTGCGTGTACCGCAGCTCCTTGGCTAGGTACAGCGCCTCCCCCCGTGACTTCCGAGCCCGCTCCTCCCTCTCGTCCTGAAAGCGCTGGCGCGTGTCATCCAGGAGGCCCAGCGGCCATCTCGTTGGACGGGAGGCCGCGCTTTCATTGCGCTCCGCATCCTTCTTCGCAGCCTGAATCTGGTTGATCAGGGTCGTTGGGCGCGACAGAGCCGACAAGAGGCCCTGCACTGTAGATTGTATACCTAGAAGGGACGTGTGCAGCGTGACCGAAGCGTTCGACTGCGCGGGCATGATGGCCCGAACATAAGTCTCGAACGCATTCATGTGCCATGGGGGTAGGAACTGCAACGTCGTCACCATCCGGTGAAGGAGCACCGACGAGTCGTACATGTCTATGACGAATGCCCATGTTAGCCGTGAATCACTGATATCAAACATAAAACAAAAGGGGGTGCACAAAACTTACCAGCTGCAGCGAGCGCAACGCTGTTGGCCCGCCTCGTCACGCTCTTAGTCGAGTAGCTGACACTTCTGACCATTTCACGTGCGTGGTTGATAAACTGCTCGACCTCCCTCACGTTCTCCACCGGTTCGTACTCATCCTTGACCCTCTCCATCCTGGTCTCCGCCTTCAGTTTAGACCGCTCTTGCATCATCTCCAGCTGCAGCTCTGGAACCAAGAAAAACTCCCATAGCATTTCGTGGGTAGCAAAGGTTGGGTGATTGAGCAGAACCTTGAGGGCCGAGTCCGTCTTGGCTTGAATGTCACGGAGAATGGCCCTCGACGGTTTCGAAGGAATCTGAAAGGGAGACCGTGTGTCTGACATGGAGGGGAGCCAGGAAGCCGGGTTCTCGTCAGCTAGAAGCTGCAAGAGCTGCTCAAACTCCGCCAGGGACCGTCGACTGGTTGTGACCGTGTAGCTCTCACGCGCAGTGGGTGCCGCCGACTTAAGCACAAGTCGTATGTTTCCATCTTCCACGAAGAAGGCCCGGACCACGCCCGTGATCCGCCCTTCTCGCCCGGCTTGCATGCTGAAGAGCGCCAGATCATCTATGCGGTTTCGGACGTCGTCATCCTTGGCCAGCTCCACGGCCGTCAGGCCGCGTAACTCCTTTGCTGCAATATCTACCCTTGCATCCGCAAAGAGGGCTCTCACCATGTCGTATCTTCCATACTTGCTGGCGACCATGAGCGCTGTGAATCGCTTCTCATTCATTGCATTCACATCGACGTCGCAATAGTCCAGCACGCCGCTCGCAATCACCGGGTCGTTGATGATGTGGAGTAGTGTGTTGCCCTTATTATCAACATGCTCATCCAAGTGTAGTGGTTCGTTATCCATCTGCGCGTCCCTTGCTGCTTCAAGCCCGGCCTTGACCATCTCATGGTAGTTGGCGTGATCGTATGACCGGCACAGGGCGAACAGCGGTGTTTGTCCGTTCTTGTCTCGTTGGCGCCATGGAACGAGGTGAGCGACTCGTGGGATCAAGAAAGGTGCATTAAAAAGGTAGTGACCCACGCTTCGTCCCCAGATGTCTGGAAGTGCGAAGTACTGGGCCAGCTGCTCCTGGCTCGTCTTGTTGGTAAGAACATCCAGCAGCATATCGATGATTTCTTTGTGTCCTAATTGGACGGCTGCAATTAATAGGGTCGTATCTTCATTATTCACATCCTCTAACAGATCTTGCACAGGGTAGTACTGTGACAATGACAGGAGATAGCTCAGAGCCTGCGGCTGCTCACTCTGAATCGCCATCATCAGGATGGATTCGCCAAAGGCGTTGTTCGTTTGTGAGAGACGTTCCACGGATATGTCACCCTCTAGCGCGCTGCTAAGAGACGCAATGCTTGCTGTGCGAGAGTGGAACGATATTTCCGAGTTACTAGAGAGACTACGAGTGTCCATGGCCACCCTCTTAATCCTGCGTATTGGGAAAGCTGGCGTTTCTCCATTGAGCTCCGTATTGTTTTGGAAGGGAAATACATGGCTCAGGTCGGAGCCTTGGGAGAACCTCTCTGTTGTTGTGAGAGCTAGCGAAGATCTCCTTGAAGAGCCGTTGAGTAGGCTCAAAGTCCCCGATCCTCTTCTTGACCTTGGCCATTCAGGGGAATCTGGCGCATCATCGACAGCCGACGTACTGGGCTCCATGGTGCTTCTTAACTCTTCCATATTGCCATTCTTAGCCGCATCCCAGAGAGCCTTGTTTTTCCTGCTTGCCCGCCTCAGGCCAGAAGAATCCATGAGCAGATATGTTAAGACTGCTTCGAATGTACTTAGCGCATATCCCAACTCGCCGCTATCGACGTCATCAATAAAAATGAAATTTCGGATGTAGGTGAACCTCGCCTGCAGGTGGCGAACTTGAGATCGAATGACAACATATAGTAATAGTGAAACTAGGGTGTCGGCGTTCACAGTCATGATGGTTTTCTCTGATGTTCCACCGGCAGATGCGTCTCCGTTGGGTCCTGTTAATTGTGACACTGTTTTGACTGTTAACAGTAACAGATCCAGCATCTCCTGGGGACAGAGTGAGTTGGATATCTTCTTGAATTCCTCAATGGCCGGCCCGAGTTGGATGAGGAGGTCGTGCTTAGCTTTCAGACCCCCATCGATACGGATCCCGAGCTGGGAAATATCGATAAACTCCATCTTCCGTATCTTTGCCTCAAGCTCCAGGTCTTCAGGGCGCTTGAGAGTGCAAAGCCGAGGAAATAGCAAGTGATTGACATTCTCAGCAACATAGCGTTCTATGAGTTTCTCAACCAACGGCCCAGTGAGATCCGTCGTTGCGCCCAGTAGAGACAGTTGCTGTTTATCAACCCCCTGAAAAAGATCAATTGCTGTAGTCACTGCCGTTTCAAGAGAGGCCCTTAAGACGTCCTCGTCATCTTCGGCATAGAAGTCATCGGTGATCGGAAGCTTGCGGGATCCCGCATCACCCGGCTTAACAGACGTGCTGTTTGATCTTGCCTTGCTCATGGCAATCTTGAAAGGCCCATCCGGGACAGGATCGGGGATAAGTTCGGCTGATGGAGGCGGCGGGAGTGGTTTCTGGAATGTTGTGGTGAATTCAAGGAAGAGCTTTTCCAGGCCAGTATGCATCTGTCGTGCGATCATGGGGAAGTTATTAAGGAGGTCATGGAAGCTCGTGATGTCTTTCTTCTTGGGCGCGGGGTTGTCGTTGGTATCGGTCTTGGACGCCTGCTGCTGCTGTGAGAGCATGCGTCGTCGTACTCCCGGCACAAGAACTGCGGGCGTGATCTTGACCTCCTCCCATACTCCGACAAGCGGTTTCGAAATGAAGTATAATAGCCATTGTCGTGGTTCGAAAACGTCGGGGTAGTAGGTATTGTCACTCAGAATTTGCGCCTGAACAAGTGTCTTGAAACCTGGGAGCGAGAGGGATTAGCTTGCGACTACTATTCTCCAATGATGACCAACTTACCCTTGTTGCTGTAGACAAACGAGTCCTTGATGATGACGCTCCTGCCGTTGAGCGTGGATAGCTGCTTGGCCTTGCCCCTTACCTCGCGCAGGTTTGGAGCACCATCCTTCGCCCCTGGCCCGGCGCCAGGTGGCGGGATGCGGAGGACATGACTGGCGAGGAAGTCCTCGGAGGCTATGACCTCGTTGACGGCGGCGCCGCTCTCGGTCTCTCGGGACGTGAGGAGCACATCCGTCAGGGGCACCAGGAGGATATGGTGGTGGACGGGGGTGCACTGGGAGCCTACCGAGCTCTTGAAGAAAGCGGCAAGGAAGGGGTTTAGAGGTTGCATTCACTCGGCTTGCTTGGCGATTGAGGTGAAGCTGGTCAGGTCCGAGGTGAGGACGGGCGAGGGCTAGGAGGCTGATAGCTGGATGGGGCGCTGTGCGACAGCTCGAGGTTCCATTAAACGATGGTGGTGCAGCAACGTGCTGTCGCGAAACGAGTACAAGCTGCGGCGAGATGGTATGAACGAACTCAACGGAGCATTGCGCAGAGGGAAGGGAGCCGGGTGGTGGTGCCGCTGGGTCGGGGTAGGGCGTCTCGGCGAGGGTCGATGGAATGACGGAGAGGTGCGACTCGGCAGTTCCGGGACGAAGGAAAAGGCTGGCTGGGGTGATTGCACGTGTAGCGCTTGGCTGGCGTCTCTGGCTGCGATTGAGGAGGGTTATGGTGTGATCGAATCACGGAGGATGGTGGACGGCGTCGGGGGAGATTAGACTGAAGTGGGTGGCAGCAGGTCAAGGTGGTGGCAGGCTGGCCGACATCAATATATTGACTGCGTCAAACGGCGATCTGCCTGGGAGCTGCTGCGTGTCTGGCATGGATTGATGGGGCATGGCTTTAGGGGGCTTCCGCCTGTTCAGATGCTGCGGACCCCTGCAGATGGCCCCAGAGTCAGCCACTTCAGGGCGGTGCAGAGCCTGACAGGGCCTGCAGCGCTTGGGCCACCCTTAGCGGTTGAGCCTATCTGGCGATGATTCAGCCTAGGGTAAGGTATCCGGCTGTGGAACTTAACCTATACCTTGCGGAGGAGAGCACAAGCAAATCTCCTCCAGTCTTGGGATTAAACTTTGAGACTTGGAATCTAATCCTTTTGGGGTACATTTAGAAAATTAGGCTAGACGCAGCAGATTCCCATTCATTTGATGTTGGCATCTATGAACATGTGATATTTTTGGATGCTAACAAACCCCATGTGAAACAGCATGTTGGCTGCCCGTGCAAGCCTCATCCACTTTGATGATGTCGTGATACAGCTTCATCAGTAAACACCACATCTCTTACCCCTCTTCATAATCACGCACCCCTTCTTGTTTCGGTATGGTTGCCCCGATCATTTAGATCCAGGTACGAACAAGCTTCCAGTGACTTAGCTTTGACCAGCTGTTCACTCACGTTGCTTGCCGTCGACAACCGCCAGCCCATCGGCTCCGTATCACATGAGACACAGCTCCCGCTGAGGTGGCCGCGCGGCTGTTTGACCTACGGTATCGACTCAAACATGGACTAGTCATGGGAGAATCTGAATAGCTAAATAATGAAGTTGATAGATCCAAAGTCAACAGACACTGAACAAGAATGATCGATTTCAGTTTGAGAGTGAACGACACGAGCCTTGATCAATGGACACAACCACAATGGATTCCACTGACGTGTTAAAGAAATACTAGAATATTGCTATATAATAGGCATATTTAACAATAAGATAATTTCAGGTTCAGATATACAATTTACCAGAATCAGTGCTGAGAGCCCGCTTCTCATCACTGATAGATTGTGAACGCTATTGGTGATCAGTGCAAAGGAAAGAGATTGGTGCAGAGCGCCGTAAAGCTGCATGAGAACCGTTTGGGATGAAAGGTGCCACAGGAATGGACCTCAGCCCTCACAAGCTCTAGCGAAAGATCTTCCGAAGGAGGTGTCTCAACACCATGTTACCACCATCGTGATCATCGTCGTACGGGTTGTGGAATATCTTTCCAGTCTCCCTGGTGTAGACTCGCAGCTCTCCAACGTCTCTGAATACCCGAACCCTTTGCCGATTTTGATTTCGCCCCCAATGAATCAAATCAACGATATTGACGTGTGTATTTCGTGCAGCCTGTGGCCCCAGTTAGCATGAACACGCCATATTAGCCGCTCACAGTCTTACCTTCTTGCACAGCGCACACGTTTGTGGAGGGGGCTCGATGCCTATTGCACGACAGAGCGAATGCCAGGCCGCCAGATCATCCTCTGCACCATACCACATATTAAGTTCGGCCGCCAATGCAGCTTGATACCTGTCCCATGCATCTTCCCCCTCGGGATCGTCACGTCCCCAGCCCTTATGGTCCCGTAACTTGGCGTACGACGTGGATGGCGGGAGGGAAGGGTCGTATTTGAATGTTCGAAAAGAGCCGAAAAAGGTGTCCAAGGGGGTTTTCGATTTCTGTCCATGGACTGGAGAGTCACGCAAGTGATCCTCTAGAGCCTCCTTGCTTTTGAATTTGCGATCACAAGTCTGGCAGTTGAGGGTCGAATCATGAGCTGGAGACTTCATATGCTGTTCCAGTGCCTCGTCGCTTTTGAAGGAACGATCACAATTTTTGCAGGGAAAGGTCGGAACATGAGCTGGAGACTTCATATGCTGTTCCAGTGCTTCATCGCTTTTGAAGGATCGACCACAATGTTTGCAGGGAAAGGTCGGACCATGAGCTGGAGACTTCATATGCTGTTCCAGTGCCTCATCGCTTTTGAAGGATCGATCACAGTTTTTGCAGGGAAAGGTCGGATCATGAACTGGCGACTGTAGGTGCTGTTTTAATGCCTCGTCGTCCTTGAAAGATCGATTGCAACTTTTGCAGTCAAAGGTCGGTGCATGTGCTGGCGACTGCATATGCTCTTGCAGTGTCTCCTCGCTTTTGAAGGATAGACCACATGTCTTACAGTCTATGGACGGTAAATGAACAGGGGATGTTTTCAGGTGCTGCTCCAGGGCATCTTGGGTCATGAATTTTCGATTGCAAGTATCGCAGTCGAATGGAGCATGCGCCCGTGAAGTCTGCAGATGCTGCCGTAGCGCTTCGTCGCTACTGAAAGAACGATCGCAGGGAGCGCAAAGGGAAGGCATCATGTCAGTGGTGCCATACCAGCGATACAGATTTCTCCAGCAGAGAATCCAGATATTTTGAACCTCTGGAGCGGGGAGTCGACAGCTTAATTATACACGTCACGCATGGGAAATGGACATGCCGTGTAACCATAGAAGCTCAGCTCCGTCCAATGATGCTGCGACACAGAAGCATTGGCGCTTGATGCAGGCAGAACAAGAGCCAACAGGCCATAAACCTTGTCATTCGGCATGATGGTGGTGGGATCGGCTCTTTTGTTTAGGGGTTTCGAGAGCTGAAGTAACCTGTTAATCCATGTTCGTTACTGAGGAACTCTGGTAGCATTTGGCCCTTGCCATATGCCGTTGGTTCATCAGAAGCTCGCTTGCTTGCTTATGTACTATAGAAGCGATGTTATCGAGCGCTCCTTCGACACTGACAATGAATTGGATACCTATTCTGGACGGATGTCTCTGTCTCCAATCATTCTCGATCGTCGGAAATTTGACGAGAGCGCCATTGGAACAGGTGCTGGACCTAGCGATTGAAAGCTTCAAGGTAGTCGGTAAATTTTTGATGCCGGTGCCAAGTTGATATATCCCATCGCAATGCCAGAAAGTGGTCTTCCTGCCCACCCAGGACTTTCAGCCCCAAAATATCGACTAATGGTTCGAGTATCGATTCCCAGAAGCTGTCCTTCCAAATCAGCATCCCCCATTTATCCTAATCAAGTGCAATCAGCATCGAAATTGACATCTCCAATTCGAAGCTTCTAAATCTCAATGACCTACTAATGAACCACTGTTGGAATGTATCCAGTCACCGTCAATCATCAGCGGACCTGCCGTTGCATTGAAGGGCATGACCTCCTCGTCTACTTGCATGGGGCATACACTTCCATCTTCCCCAACCAAGAACTTCACACCTTATTCAAGCCCCCGCGTGTGACAGAAATCATCGTCGTTTGGCTTCTTGAGCGGAAGATACTGCAGGTAGCCGTATCAGGAATGCCCATGAGAATTCCAGAGGCGAGCTTGAAGTGGCAGCAAGGCGGGGGCAAAAGTAAAGAACTGTCACACCTCTTGACAAATTACAACCAGCATGACCATGGACTGACTGAGAAGGATTCAGCACGTACCCTTTTTGGCGCGACTTGGCAGGTAAATTCTTTAGCCGTTGGTTGAATGGTGCATTTACCTGCAGAGAATGAGCCAGGACATGGAGGAGACAAAAGCGTCCGCTCTGGGGCAAACAACAGCAACGCAAGCTCTTGTATCACACGTTGGAGAACAGAGCCACAACATGATCAAAAACACGGCTCAAGCGTTTGGTGACAACCCAAACCACTCGCGGGAAGTCATTTCTTGATCATTTTCATCCGATATCCAATGAAGAGAATCAAACACCCCTGAAGGCCCAACAACTCACCGCGCCGGGAGAAACAAACAATTTGGTCAAAAACACTCAAGAAACTGCGTAATGTCATCGATGGAGAGTCACAAAACCAGCTATAAACGTTTACGCAAGGAAGACAGCTGAATATAAGAACCGTGACTTCACAACGTCTCCTAGAGAAGCGGCTCAGAAATACCACAGAACTCTCATCTTGAAACTTACATTTGCTCTAATTTCGTTCAAATCCAAGCTTCAAGGAAACGAACACTGCTTTCCAGCACGGGTAGACCCAGAATACCAGACAACACACCCTCATCTGTCCTCAATCACACGATGTCTGTCACGGACGTGCAAGACATGAGGGCAGAGCAGATATACCGCCCACTGGACTTCTCCAAGAACGAAATTCGCCTGCTCGAATTTAAGGATCATGTCTGCGATAGAGAAGTCCCATTGCAATTGGATCTATACCACGTATCGTTGGATGATTGGGACCCTGAGTTTGTCACTTTGCGAAACCAAAATCCATCGGCGGATATCTTGCAACTCGCCCAAGCCGAGGAGAATACAATATTCAAGTGGGGGATTTATACCTGCTTGAGCTATACACGGGGAGACTGCGAGGGAGAGAAGGCGACAATCTTCGTCAACGGTGTCGCGACACCTGTGGACAAATATCTAGAGCATGCTCTGCGAGATGTGGGCGGTTCCGATCATGTGCATCAGCTATGGGTCGACGCTCTCTGTATCAATAATGCTGACACGTTTGACCGGAATCAACATGCTCTGCGCAGAAAGGTTATCTTCGGCCACGCCTGGAGAATTCTAGCATGTGTCCACGACAGCAAAGAGCTCACGGATTATGAGCTTGGTTATATCCATTCAGACCAGCCGGGAGATGCGATAGATTGGTATTGCGAATTCCTGATGATGGATTGTGGCAGGCAAGTTCTTGAAGAGGCTCTCGGAGTCCGGCATCGGAACTGGGGAGCGGCGGAGCAACAAGAAGAGATCATCAGGGATGAGATAACTGCTCCGCTTGCTTTAATGTTTGATGAACATTTGGGAGTGCCCTGGCGCAAGGATCGAGAGAGCGACTCGGGCGATGAAGATTGGCACGAACCCGAACCCTGCAATGTCCGCTTTTTGGACATAATCCAGTCATACCTATTGACGCTTCTCCAGAAGCAATATTGGTCGCGTCTAGAGATTATCCAAGAGCTGACAGAAAATCCTGACAAAACCCTCTTGCAGTGGGGGCATAGTTGGGGAGCCCAGCCGATTCCGTTCCCGGTCTACCTGGCTCTAGGCGACGTCTTACTCAACTTACACAAAGATGAGGAGCCCGCGGACCCAGAGCTTTGGAAGAAGTTGAAACCCAAGCTGGATCTCTGGTCATTCATCACCAGAAGGAAGGAGCTGGAGACTGCGACAGGCGGTGCGGAACGGTTGGACAATGTCGGCGTCAGGGAGTTGAACTCACTCGTTGCGCGTGCAAGTTGCACGTTCCCACAGGACAGAGTGTACGCCATACTGGGCTTGTTCCCGCCGTCTGTTTCAGGCGCCGTTAGGGTCGATTACAACCAGGATGCGGCAGTGACCATGGCCCAGTTTCGCTCCGTGGTCCCAGGCTGGAACTGCAACCGACTGGAGCCGAGAAGCGAAAGTGACGATGAGGGAGTCTGCCAGGGTTCGATGATGGAACTAGATTGATAGTATATTGATAGCAATCCACCTCCTCTTCCTAAGACCGTTGTCAAGACTCAGTGACTGATAACAACGCTACCGAGGGCTGACGATTGGGGTTTATCTGTGTACCAGGTGTAGAAGATACCAGAGAAACAAAGATCGTTTGGAACAGTCAAAAACCACCTTAGAGAACAAGAGCCTATGCCTTTGACGTCCCGAACTTGAAGGTGAGGCTCCACGTTAATGTAGGATAGACACAACTACGATGCTAGGTAGGTTAGACATGATTGCTATGTTCAAGGTCCAAGTTGATAACTTATATACGAGTTCAATATAGCGTAACAGGCATCTATCTCTTGAGTGTATTATTTCATTACAATCGCAACTCCCGTTGCCGTTGCGTTTTGGTTTGCTTCATTCCTTTCTCATTTAAGCCTTCTCATCCAGAACCCGACGCTCCCATCTGATCACGGCTGGCATGGTAGGCCGCGAGAACAGAGACGAGTAATCGGTAGGGGGCACCTCCCGGCTGCCGTCCACATTGCTGAGGTGGAAGTGGCGCACAAACGTGGCGACAATGACCTCTAGGTTGAGGTACGCAAACTTCTCGCCGATGCACCGGTGCCGCCCGGCGCCAAAGGGGAGATACGCGCTGCGGGCGCCCTTGGACAAGGTCAAGTCGTTGTCCTCCTCCTCCTCCTTGGCCTCCTTCTCCCCCTCACCCTCCTCCGCCTTCTTCTCCTCCTTGCTCTCCCAGCGGCTCGGGTTCCACTCGGCGGCGTTGGGGAAGTGCTCGTCGCTCAGCTGGGTGACGAGGGGCGAGGACAGCATGACGGTGCCGGGGTGCAGGACGTACGGGGTCCCGGGGATCTCGAGGGTGCGGGTGACCTTTCGCATGACGCTGTGGATGGACGAGTGGGTGCGGAGGGTCTCCCTGACGACGTTCTTCAGCAGGGGCAGCCTGTCCAGGTCGGCGTACGTGAGAGGCTGGAGCTTGCCGTCCTTGGAGAGGTTGTCGACCTGTTCCTGGTACAGGGCCTTGCCGACCTCGGGCCGCGAGGCAATGTGGAGGAGCATCCAGGAGCTGGAGGACGCGGACGAGTGCTGGCCACCGAGAAGCATAGTGATCATCATGTGGGCGATTTCCTTGTCCGGGATCGGGGTGCCATCTTTGTACTTGCAGTTCAGCAGATTCCAGATCATGTCGTGCTCGGCTTCGGGACCCTGCTTCCGACGCTTCTCAATGACCTCGAGGTAGAGGTTTCGCATGTGGATGTGGGCAAGGTCTCTCTTGCGGTTGTGGGGGAACGGGAACCAGGGCATCAGGAAGTTGACAGGCTGGAGGCCATTGTCGAGGTCGTTGTACACCTTGGCGTATTCCCGGCTGAGCTTGGAGCGGATCTCCTCGCCCTGGATGGCTCGGCTGGCTGTGAAGATGTTGACCTCGGCCATGGCCTTTGAGATGTCGAGAGTGCCGGCCTGGCCCTTGAGCCCGGGCGTGGTCTTGATGTAGTCGGCGACTTCCTTCTCGATGATCGGGACGGCGTCCTCGAGGGCCTTTTGTGTGAGTGCGAACTTGACAAACTTCTTCTGCTGCATGAACTTGGCGTTGGGGCAGTCGTATACGACATCGGCTCCGAACACGGGGACGGTGAGAGGGCCGTAGACCTCCTCGGCATTCAGGTCAGCCACCTTGCCGTTGAGGATATACTCGTTTCCGTCGACACCAAAGTAGCACATCAACTTCATATTGAAGAGAGTGAAGGAGAAGATATCGCCATACTATACAACGATCAGTGGTTAGCCGATATCCGAGGCCGTGTAAGAGGATCAATTGAAGGTTCCCCAACGTACCTTTTCACGGTTCTGGCGGAAGAAAGTAGGAGGGTCCATGCCATATGTGATTGCATTTCCAACAATGGGGATCCAATGGAAGACGGCCGGCGGCTCAGACTTGCTCCTTGGTAGTAGCTGGCGAATGGCATTGCCAATGATAAGCAGGACCGTGGCGGCAACGGCCACCCCCGCGATCATGATAAAAGAGTCCATTGTCTCCCCAGGTCGACGCTTCGGTTGGAATTGACTGGACAGGTAGGTTCCTAGAGATGCCCTCTTGAAGGTTGGACAGATCTCATCGAGGGAACTGAAGACCTTTATACCCCTCGCCCCAGGATATAATTTTTGACCGCAACATATCAGCGAATCTTACAAATGTCGGAGATATAAATGGGTATTCCCTCTTTGGACGCCTTCTGATCTCCTGGAGCAGTAGATGTAAGGTTGGTTCGTTCAGTGAGAGAGCACGGCGAATCCGAATACGCCCCCGGCCAACCAGCAAGCAGGCAGAAAAGTGGCGTGTTCGTATCCGGGTCCGAGCTCTCAGCCCATCTGCGCCGCGCCATCTCGATCCGAATCGGACTCGCAATACGAAATCTCTATATGACTTACCAGATCTCATCAGATGGTCCCGGCGATTTAACTGCTGCCAGTCGTTCAGCTCGTGGTGGCTCGGCATTTGCAATTTGGGCCTTGCCATTCGTCAATTGGAGATGCAGCGACTTACACGGTGGACTACCAAACATAAGATAACTTGCACAGAATCCAGTGCATGTGGGACATGCGAATACGACTAATAACTCTTTGGCGACTGGTTTCATGCCATGTCTGCTCGATAGATCACTGCCTGAGCCGGCTCCTCTTGCCTGCCCTCGGCCGACTGGCCATTGGCCACCGGGGTCAATACGATCGAGACTGTGGGATGCGAATAAGGAGAACGGTGAAGGCCCCTTCCCTTCCCTGGTGTTTATCAGGTGAGTTTGCGAAAAAGATTTTCCTGGACGAGAAGAATCCGGCGGGAAACTTCCTTCTGATCCCTGCATCTGGGGCAATGTGGGAGGAGGAGGAGGGGCTCAGTATCCATCAGCAACAGAAGCATAGGTCAGAAAAACAGAGCCATTGACTGCTGCGAACCCCTGAGACTTGGCCCCATCACATTGTTTAATCTGTCCAGCTTCCAGTCAGTGAGTTTCCTTTTGTCAGGCACCATCTTGCACTATTCCGGGCGGTTTTGGTCTTCGTCGAATCGTGGTTGAGCTATTGTAAGGGGACCCTTATTAATATCGGGTGGGCCCATGGCACGGTTCCATCGACTTCCCGTTCAAGAAAAACCGGCCAGGGTCGGGAAATGCATCGCGAAGCATTGGATGGCGCGTGCTGTTGGAGCTCGTTCGTGCATATTGGTGTGTCACAGTTGAAATAAGGTTGCCCAAATGTCTCTCTTAGGAAAGCCAGCCAACGATCAATCAATCGCACGTCAGGTAGGTATGTTCAAGTTCTCTCTTCTTGTGCATATATTAGTTTCTTCCCCTCTGATATGCTAAATTGGTATCCAAAAAGACATGATATCATCTCATGAGTATTCGTCATCATGCAAGAGGTAGCCGGCGATGCTCACATCATCTAGGCTCCAACCCTCCAAAGACTCTCCAAGGCATTAGAAAGAATTCCACAGCCGCTTCCACAGAGGGGGCTTGTACCCTCCCGAACTAATGGCAGCATCCGACTTGTCGAGATCGACTCTCCTTCCGCTGACCAGATCGATATCCCAGCTACGCTTGAAGGGATCGGCGCTCCGCCACCAGAGCTTGCCGATGACGTAGATGACGCCAAACAAGGGCAGCAGGATGTAAGCCACCACAAAGTTGGCCGCGTTGAAAGGCGACAGCGTGGTCCAGCCCTGGACAAACGCCAGGAAAATGGTAGCAATGAGACCTCCGTATGCCAGGAAAGGGTACCCCATTGCCTTGAACGGCAGCTCGCTCAAGCTGTGGTTCTGAACCTTCCAACCGCGGCGGAATCGAATATGGATAAAGCAGATGCCTGCCCAGACAAGGAAGGTGCTCACACCGGACAGGTTAACAATGTAGGTGTAGGCCTTGGCAGCCCCCGTGGACACATTCATCATGGAGATGGAGCCGACCGCGTTGGTGATGAGGATAGCCCAGACCGGTACGCCGCGACCATTGACCCAGCCCAAGATTCTGGGGGCCTTTCCAGACTGCGCCATGTACAGAACGGTTCGCGAGCCGATGTAGATGGACGAATTAATCGCAGATAGACAAGTAACCAAGATGAAGGCGTTGATTAGATGGACACCTGCGGATTCATATAAGTGAGCGGTTCGGGATCATGAACACGGAGTAACAGTCACTTACCACCTTCCCAACCTGCATTCCGGATGGCAATCGTCATAGGGCTCTGGAGGGCCTTTGAAGATCCACCAACAAGATCGGGCGCGTTCGCTGGGCAAGTCAGCCCGAAGAAAAGGGCAGATCCCATATACACAAAGATGATGCGCCAGAAGACCTGTCGGATGGCCTGGGGCACGGCCGTACCGGGGTTCCTCGTCTCGGTAGCCGCAACAGCGACAGATTCGACACCGGCGTAGAACGTAGAGCAGAAGACGAAGACAACAGCGACGCCACGGAAGCCATTTCCATTGAAGGGGCCCGGGTCGTTCCAGTATCGCGTGCCAAGCGGCTCGGTTTGGCCAATCAGACCGCCGGCGCAGTATATGATGGAGAAGATGAAGAAGGCAGTCAGACCCAGCAGTTTGATCAGAGCAAGCCAGAACTCAGCTTCCCCAAAGGCGGCAATGCCCAGAAGCTGAAACCCGAGAAACAAGGACCAGAGGATGAGGAACCAGCCCCAGAGGGGGACCTGCGGGACCCAGTAGGTGAGGATGTTGCAAATGACGTTGTACTCATTGGCAAGCACGGTAGCCCAGATGATGAAATAATTCCAGCCGACAGCTACCGAAAAGGACTTGTCGACCATGCGCTCGGCGAGTGAGATGAAGGAGCCCCCACCAGGGAAGATGGTGGTGAGCTCACCGAGCGACTGCATAATGGCGAATGCAATGATACCTGCAGATCAAAACTGTCAATATAAAAATACAAAAATTCACACATTCCCTGCGACAAGCGATTGCGCTTGCGACGGGACGCGAGCGACGTACCAATCAC